CCCAGCAAAAACCTATATATATATATATATATATATATATATATAGCATAGACAAAGGTGCAGCCGAAAGCAGCAAACGAAGATACTCATGCCTGTAGCAGTGGCATATACCAAACGACCCAAGACAAAATGAGACCAAGAGGGGCGAAATGCGTGCAGAGCAAGAATAACTGTTTCAGAAATTACGAAGATGAGCCACAAAACAAAACGGCGACACCAAGAAGAGATGAAAGAATCAGGCCCCCGCAAGCTGTCTTATGGAACAGCTGCACTAATACAAACAGCATCTCTCCATGGAAAAGCAAGCAGTAATTCCACCAAAAGGGATCAAGCACAATAAATGCCCACAGCTGTCAACGCCTCGAGAGCAGCCAACTCCTCCTTCAACTTCTGCAAGTCTTCAGCTGTCTGTAAAGCGCGCGCACACACACGCACACGACCCCTCACCCGACTTGAACAACAGCGCACCAAAGAAGCTAATAACGATAGGATGGGAAGCGAGGTTAGGCCGAAAGCGAGGGGTAAAGGCTAGCAAACCACAATGCTACAACTGTCGCTCTTGCTTACTAAAAGAGCGGAAAGAAAACGAACGGAAATAGAGTCGTAAATCAGAGAAACCATAAGAGTTGTAGATAATAACAGAAAAGCATAAACAGAGAAACAGGAGGAGAGAGAAAAACACACATAACGAAGACGGCAGCGACAAGACGAACCGCTAACTACAACAATCGGAGCAAAACCAAACGGAGAAAAAACCAACAAAAACAAAGAACGCCCTAACCCGAGCAATAGGGGCAGCACGCGCAACACGTCAGCAACAGCAGAAGCAACAGCAGCGTCCGCATAAGCAGCACTAGGAACAAGAACTAGCTGATCAAACTCTTGTGTTGCCTACCGCGTCAGCCGCATTGCTTTCCATGTCGGCGATTTGCTTTTTGAGGAGTACAAGCTTTTTGTTGTGCGAGACCTTCTTCCAAGAGCATGCCTCGTCCAGAAGATCGAGGGCCTTGTCTGGAAATGATCTTTGCTTGACATATTGAGCCGACATATTTACAATTAACTCAAGCACATCTTCAGGCAACTCCACACCATGGAACTGCTCATAGTGGTGTTTCACCTTCTTCAATATTGCTGAGCAGACAAGCAAAAAATTAGCGGCAGCATGTGCAACCTATTGTCGTAATCCTGGCAGGCAAATACAATTCACAATTAACAACGAAAGGTAACAAAACGTGGAGATTACTGTTGTGGCACACGAACAACCTTGATATACACATATAACCAACCACAGACTTAGCACACAAACATCATCAACCATGTGATACAAACCTACAACAGACTGTACAATACACCGAGACAATACAAATAAAGCAAATGCAATAAATACAGCATATGATGATGATGCGAGTAACCTAGTCGAGAAGATCCAATAGATGGCGGCGAGTAAGCGACGCAAACACAACAGCAAGAACAGCAACAGCTGCTGTCCTGCCGGAAATAGCAGCAAAAACAGCAGTAACGACAGCGGCAGCAACATAAGCAAGTTTGACTGTGTTATTTCATATCTCACAGAGAGCCCTCTCTTTGCTCGGTGCTTCAACGACGATGTTTTGGAACCGGCGGCAGAAGGCAGCGTCCTTTTCGATGTGCAGCTTGTATTCCTCAAGCGTTGTTGCTCCAACCAAGCTATAAACACAAGGCAACAGAATAAGGCAAAACAGTATGAACGCAGCAAAGAACAAAGAACAAACAAACAAACACACACACACACACACACACACACACGCAGAGACAAAGACACAAAACAGAGTGCAACACAACATACGCAATACATATCAAGCAACGGACTACTACGATGCTGAGAAGCGCATCAGCAGCAATGCCAAAAAACAAATAAAATGCACACGCCAACTGTAGTACTCAAACAACTAATCGAGCTACTAAAACGTTACTAACGAAACCAGGAAAATGCAGAACAAGGGGGCCGTATCTGAGCGCCCATTAGAACCCCCGAGGGAAAACAAAAGGGAGACCAATAACCGACACAAGCAAACGCCACGGACAAAAGAAATGCACACGAGAAGCGGACAAAATGAAGAAGCAAACGGCGGAGACTAGAAAGTGAAAGAGAACAACACACGTCAGAGACAACCAGCAGAAGCAAGCAAACAGCAGAGACAACCAAACGCTGGAGACACAGAGGCAAAAGATGCATTCCAGCAGTGGAGACGAGCAACGACGAAGTCGAGTAAGAGGCCATGAAAAACAAGCATTGTGCCTGCATACACAATTTCTCCTCTGGCCAGAGGCACTTTGAGGATCTGCGTTGCGTCCGAAGAGCCAGAGGTTTTGCCTGCGCCGACGAGGGTGTGGATTTCGTCAACAAACAGAATAACGTCTTTCTTTCTGCGCTGCAAAAAGGTGATAATCTCTTTCATTCTCTTTTCGAACTCTCCCCTCATCGAAGTGCCCGCAGACAAATTCAACAAATCCAGAGATATTATACGACGACCCCTCAAACCTTTCGGAACCGCACCCTAAACCCAGCATACAAATCAAATGAAAAAGCAGACGAAAACCGGCTAGAGAAACTCGAACGCGTAATCTAGCACATGCAAATAACCAGCATACAAGCTGAAAACCAGCTAACCACACAGGATACATATGGCTTAAACGGGAACGCCGACCGGAGACCCAACCAACCAAACATCTACCTAAGCAGCTAGCTAGCGAGCCAGTCAGATTCACCCCCACAAACATTTACACAAGTCACTGACTTGGCAAATGTCTCCACAACTGACTAACACGAGATATGCGCATGCAGACACCTAGGAAAATGACTTGTGCGTTACTTCGCCTCATCCCAGCCAGTATGCCAGCTGGGTAGCTATCTACCCAGCTACCCTTCTAGCTAGTTTGTCCGCTAGCCGAGCAGCTGATTGCGTAGCTAACACACACTGGCATGACGTCATCCAACGTGTGGGGGAAACGACTGTACATGCTATAAACCCTAAACCTGAAGCCCTTGAACCTAACCTCGACAATACGTTGCGCAAGGCCTTCGATGACTGCAGTCTTGCCCACACCCGGCTCGCCAATGAGCAGTGGGGCCTTCGTCATCATTCGACTCAATATCTGCGTTACGCAGAAAAATATGAAGAATAGAAAGTAAATTAAGCGGAAAATGTGAACAAAAACGGCAACGCCTTAACTGGGAAACAGAACAAGCAAACGAACTGTCCGTGGAAGGATCTGCGCGTGTCTGAAGACTACACCAACTACGAGCAGCGACAGGCAAAGAAGCCAAAATGAAGGCAAGCGACAAACACGAAGACGTATGTAAAAGCGCCAAAGTCGAAAGCAACAAAAAGATAGAGAAGCTCCAGGGCGGAGATCAACAAAAGCACGCGCCTACTGTTGTGTGAATTTGGCAGTTTGTTCAGATTACCTGAGCGATTCTGTCTATCTCCTCGTCTCTTCCTATAACGGGCTGCAGCTTCCCTTTCTCTGCCTTCTCTGTTAAGTCTTCGCCATACTGCGTTATGTCGAAATCTTTTGTCAGCTGCTCCGTCGTCCCCGTCGTATTAGGCATTGGAGTGTTTTTGTAAGCCAACGCCAGCTCTCTGCTCACCCAACGCATATATATATATATATATATATAATATAT